GGAGTGCAGTAATTACCATGCTCCAGCAGACTCAATTAATCAAATCTGCCCTGATGTGCTCTAATTATAGTGCATCAGAGCAGCCTCGCTGCACATGTATAGGCGCCTTAAACTTCTGTGACTCAGTTGATCCATTGTTAAAATGCACGTTGTTCTTTTATGGGGGGAGGTATTGTAGCTTGATTAGAGTGAAATTCTAGCCTTTGGCTATAGTCAGATGGACAGTTTACTCAGGGTAAACGCTGGTCCCATCAATCACAATACTGATTATTGGTTTAACAAATCCGGTATCTCAAAACTCACCCAAATTTAAAGCACCAAATTCTTTATAGCGTCTATCAAAAATCATAAATGGGCCAAAACTTTGGGACACTCCCAAAACATGATGTGAGGGTCGCCTGAAGTTCATCCAGATTGTACTGAGAACTTCCTAGATCTGGGATTTGGGGACTTTGGTTTTCATACCATATGTTTTGCAAAGTTCCTGCACACATTGTATACCTGATTAGTTGATCAGATAGTATAGCAGTGGGAGCCCTGCTGATCAATCATTCATTTGCTCTTGGTAGTTCATATAAATATTGAGCTGTAAATATGAATCCATGGTCAAAGGATCTCAAGGATCATTTCATTTAGATAAATTCCCTGTTTCTAACTTGACATTGGAATGTGATTATGAACATGACATCTTACTAAATATTTTTCAGGCCTATAATTAGATTTTCTTTTAAATTTTACCAGCGAAAGGAATATTATGGTAATAGGGTCAGAACAATGCCACAGAAAAGGAAGATGAATATTTTCACTAACAGTTCCTATGATACTGTAAGTACAGTGATGCCAAGGTTAAACTGCTGGGGATGTGGCTTCTGGCATCCCTCCGTAGGGTGGCAGATATTCTGGCAACATTCACCCATTTGCTGTTGTGCCCATGTATTATGCATCTTGTTTTTACTCAAACCAGCTTCTGATGATTCTGGTTAGGAAAATGAATGTCATCTGGCAAGAAAAACTTTCCTTTTAAGAACAAGCACCTGGTGCCCTTTGACAATTAAAAAAAGATATTTTGTTTTGCTGCCTTCTTTCTTTCTGCTAAAGAAGCCTCTGTTCAGACAGGTTTCTTTTTAAAACTGTAGAGTAGAAGAGAAGTCCATTTTTGTTTTCACTCTGTATTCAGCCTCCAGTCTTCTCTGGAGAAGAGAAGACTGAGGGGGTTTCATAGCAACCTTCAACTACCTGAAGAGGGATTCGAAAGAAGACGGAGCTAGACCTGTGGTTCCCAAACTTTTCCCAAACACGGCCCCTAGCTTCCAACCTGCAGCCCCCCACCACCCAGGTGCCCCTCACTCTTGACCCACAGCCCCCTGGTCCTGCCTTCCAGTGCCTGTCAATTCCAACCTGCACCCCCCGGCTCTGCCGGTGCCGCTCATTCCCAACCTGCAGCTTCCCAGGTGCCCCAGAGTCGGGGCCTGCAGACCCCTGCCCTTCTCCACCCCCCCAACAGTGTCCAAGCCCTGGCTGCTGCCCGCAGGAAGTGGTAGCTAATGCGGCCAGAGCGGAGTACTGGGGCTGGTTCCCATATCACCCCCCATCCCCTTGTGGGTGGCATGGCCAGAGCAGAGCCCATGGGCTGGGGGAGGATGCAGGCTGTTTGCTGCGGGTGTGGGGCTCCTTGGCCTACTGCCCTCGCCCTCAGGGCTTCACAGTCCAGCAGGCAGGATCTGATGTGGGAGGGACCACCATGCCACCAAGCTGAGGCACTCCCTGCCCGCCTGGCAGCAGTGGGGGCACAACTCCACACCACTGCCATGATGAGGCAGCACTCCCTCCTGCTCTGGGTCCTGCCCACTGCACTGTGCAGGTAGCTCTTGCCTGGAGCTAGTCCAGTCCCATTGCATCTCTGCACCCTGCTGTGGGTGTACGAGTCTCCTGACCCCAACTGCTGATGTTGTGGCCCCATTTGGGGTCGTGACCCACAATTTGGGAACCCCTGAGGTAGACTGTTCTCAGTGGTGGCAGGTGATGGAACAAGGAGCAATGGTCTCAAGTTGCAGCAAGGAAAGTTTAGGTTAGATATTAGAAAATTTTTATCACTAGGAGGGTAGTAAACCCAGAAAGGGATAGGTTCTCCATCCTTGGAGGTTTTAAGACCCAGCTGGACAAAGCCTTGGCGGGGATGATGTAGTTGGGGCTGGTCCTGCTTTGAGCAGGGGGTTGGACCAGATGTGACCTCTGGAGGTCCCTTCCAACCCTCATTTTCTCTGCTGCTTTGTTGTTTCTGTGAAAGTCTTATCAAGTTGGTGTGTTTTACTTACATGCTTCTCTCTAAAGTGATAACATCATTTTGCCAATGTGTTCACTTATTAGTATTATGTAACCCATCCTGATCACACTAGAAAGTCTCACGGGGCTTTTTTTTCTTTTACCGAGCAAAGCAAAAAAAAAAAAAAGGAACATTGAAGCTACAAATGCTAACAAAGGAGGCCAGTTGCAAAACCTGGACATTGAATATAGAAAATCAAGCTCTCTTAAGCATGCGGCTCTGCCTTTTTTTCTAGCGTCAGGTTGACATGCTAATTTATATTGGCTGCCTAACATCTGGTTCATTCTTGCAGCTTTTCAATGACTGACACATCCTTGTGGCCCTTTTTATCTGCTTTTAGCATTGTTCTGATTAACATTGCTATTTTTATTTACATTAGGTGAAAGAAGAGATGCTGTTTGAAGCACTGGTTACCAGAAAGACAGTGACAGTGGGGGAGAAGCTCATTTTACCATACAAACTAGCAGAGGTACGTAGTGTTTATTTTAAACTGGAGGAATGTTAATGTGGTTTTCAGTGCTCTAGTGTGAGAGCTTGAAATGTACACTCAGCTTTGGTCAGTACTGACTCTTCGAGACCTTTAAAAATAAATAAATATAGGGAAAGTTGGTAGAGGAGAATGTCTCGAGGCAATTGACTCTGCTCCTTCACCCTGTCACAGCTTTAGCAGTGTTTACATTCTTGGAAAGCAGATACTGCAAATGGTTATGTAGGGATGCATAACTGTTTTAATGGCTTTTTGGATACATGATAAACGTTGTGTGTGTAGTAAGAGCACTTTCAGGTGGTGGTCTGTATTTGCCCCTCTTCACATTGTAGCCCTTGTTCATCTCAAAGAAGCCCTCTCCGGTGACCCAGTTGAAAAAATGTTGGTAGTCTTAGCAACTGCACCAGTCACTGATTTGCTTTTGCAGGGAGGTGTTGTGGGGGGCACTGTGCATGCTCCTGCGTAAAGGAGTCTCTTTTTGTGTAGACAGTTTGCATCCTGGCTCCTTAACGCTTAGGAGTAAGCATTAGTAAATGAGTCTGTTGCATCCCTTTTTGCCCAAAAGGCTTTCTGCCTGGGGAGATAGGATGAATTAAGGAAAAGTGTGATGTTTGTGCACATGCACTGAAGTTAAAGGAGAATCCAAGAGAGATTAAGTGACATTGAATTAACGACCCTTTTTCTCAGTGAGCAGATCCACACAAGAGTTTTTTAGTGTTCTTTAATTCTGTGGATAACTTCACAGCTTTAGTTAGTTCACCTTAACTTTCTTCCATGTAGATAAGCCCTTAAATTTGCTCAGAAGATTACTTTGAGTGTAGTGGATGCTATCCATTACCCACGAGGAAGGCACTGCAGCAAGTCAAACCTTGGACTTCTGCATAAAAATCTAGGCCAGGTTACTGTATTGCCATAAATTATTCTTTTTAAACCTGCTTTCCAGAACATGAAATAAACAATATAGCAGAGAACAAAAATAGGTAGGCTTTTCTTTTTTTCTTAGTGAATCCTGGATTTTTTTATTCAACAGTGTCTCTTAGGGCTCTACCTGCACTCAGTCCTTCTGTCTTCCACCCAAAACCATAAAGAATAGGACCAGCTAGTTGTTCCTCAGTTCCTTCTCATTGTCTGTGGCCATGAGTCAGAATTTGCAGTGTGAAATGTATCCAAAGCAGCTGATTATTCAGGTTAGCTTTAGATATTCTTAAAGTGGTTTTCTCCCTCTCTCCTCTGTGAAAAAGAAAAGCTTTGTAACTCCTCTGCTACCAGGGCCAGTTGTTATAACTGAACATAAAATTTTAATAATGCCCTTTGTGTAAGGTAACAACACATCTTGAGACTGTGGATACCAGATGCTAACTGAGTCTTAGTTAAGGGCATACAGCAGATATGCTATTTGTAAATATTTCTCAAAGAGAATTGAAAGAGCTAGGGAGTCTCATCTGAAGATGTCCCTTTTTTAGAAAATACTGGATCCTTATTAAAGCTTTGGGTGTCTGGGACTGAAGAACCCATCCTCCAAACTGGTTCCTCTGTTCACAGATTTAATGTATTCCTATCTGATAAAATATCAGGGGCAAGGAGGAAGAAGTAACACCAAGCCTCTAAAGGGAAGAGATCTATTTCCTTTACCAGCTTTTTCCTCGAGAATCAATGAATCCCCTAGAATTGCTTCAAGAAAGGGTAATTTAAGGCCCCAAAAAATCAGTCTGACACTTATTTAGGTACTGGTCACCTCAAGACCAGCTTCCTCACTAACTCAGAAATTGCTGATATCAGTATATCCTATCCACACAAAGATTCCTGGTGCCAGTGCTGTCCAGTAACCTGTCTGTATGATCTGGTGATGAGGTAGAGGTTTTTGGTATCAGAAACATACATCAATATAGTATTGCTAATGAAAAAACTTTCTCCAACTACCCTTATTCTAACACTGAGCCACGCCCATGGTACCAGTCACAGCACAGTATGAATGTGTTTCCAGCACCCCAGTTCCCAGATATTGATTCTGAAAGTATGAATGGAGGAGGAATGTGTAGTTTGTTACCTTTTTAGCTACTAGTAGTAAGCTTAAGTCAGGATTTCCTTGGCTGATCCCAGCATATTCAGTGCCATATTTGTGGGCATTGCTGTTCATAACTGGAATCACTTGGGATTTAGAAGATGACCTTCCTTTACAGTTTTAGCTGCATGCGAGGGAACCCTTTACATAGAGGGTTTTGTACTAAGTGATGAACATTATCAAGAACCAGGTACTGTTCAGTCTTTTGACAGATAAAACTACAGCCTTTCTGTGAACAGGATTTTTTTGCAAGCTTAGAGACAGAATTCTGGGAAAGTTGCAATTCCTTTATTGAATACCCTTTTTCATAGATTTCACAGACATTAGGGGCTGGAAGGGACCTCATGAGATCATTAGGTCCCCCCCCCCCCCTGCCATAGGTGGGAAGTCAGCTGGGATCAAGTGGTCCCAGCAAGAAATATATCCACCTGTTGTTTTGAAAGAGTCCAGAGTAGGTGCTTGCACCAACTCTGGGGGGAGTTTGTTCCAGACTCTGGACACACGCACCATAAACAACTTTTTTCTTATGTCTAGTCTAAATTGATCTTCCTAGAGTTTATGGCCATTAGACCTTGTTATCCCTTTGGGAGCTCTGGTGAACAACTGTTCTCCCAGGTCTCGATGTACCCCCTTCATGTAATTGTAGGCTGCCACCATAGTTTCATAGTAGGTAGGGTTGGAAGGGACCTGAGCAGATCATCAAGTCCGACCCTCTGCCATGGCAGGAAAGTACTGGGGTCAAACGACCCCAGCTAGGTGTCTATCTAGCTTCCTTTTGAAGACCCCCAGGGTAGGAGCAAGCACCACTTCTCTTTTGGTCCCCCTTGGCCAGTTTATAGACGGCCACCAGACCCTCTCTCAACCTTCTCTTGTGGAGGCTGAACAGGTTCAGGTCTCATAGCCTCCCCTTGCAGGGCCTGCCTTGCTGCCCCTGGATCATACGAGTGGCCTCCTCTGGACCCTCTCGATGCTGTCCACATCCCTCCTAAAGTGCAGCGCCCAGAACTGGACACAGTACTCCAACTGTGGCCTGACTAATGTCACGCAGAGGGGGAGGATCACCTCATCAGACCTGCTTGTGATGCATCTGTGGATACATGACAAGGTGTGGTTAGTCTTCCTGACCACATCCCCACATTGGTGGCCCATGTTCATCTTGGAATCAATAGTGACTCCAAGATCCTTTTCTGCCTCTGCGCTGATGAGAAGGGAGTTCCCCAACCTGTAGGTATGCTGCTGGTTCTTCCTGCCCAGGTGCAGTACCTTGCACTTGTCAGTATTGAATCCCATCCTGTTCTCATCCACCCACCCCTGTAACCTGTCCAGAACTAGTTGCAGCCTGTCCCTCTCCTCCAACGTGCCCACTTCTCCCCACATCTTAGTGTCATCCA